TTAATAAAATACTAGAATAAAGCTATTTTAAGAACTAAAATGCGTAAAATGTAACAAATATGATTACTTCAAATTCAACCAAATAGAGCTATTTTCTTCGTAGCTGATTTCATAACACTTAAAAAGGACAATCAAAACGATCAATAGAACTTCTGACTAAATAGGTGAAATCATGAACAACCGCCATCTATTTATCCGATCCAGTTTTTTTCTCCCTCATAACCAAACGTACCGGTAACGTTTTTCTTTATGATAAGGGTCTAGCAATCAGCTAAAAGCTACATGCATTGCCTTAATCAATTTTGGTCTACAAAGGTCAATTGAAGCTTTGATTAAATGAAGAAAAAGCAAATCCCTTACATGTAGTCTTTCTCTAATTATCTTGGTCTTAATAGGCGCACTAATCAGAGTTCCACTTGGCTTGAAATAGCTACACATCCCACATTCAAAAGAATATAAAAAAAAGTAAAAAAAAATACCAGCTCTCACCATTGGTGACCACAACCAGTGGCCTCAACTCCTTTTCAATTTTCAATTTCATGACATAAGGTTTGCATGTCCTTTAGCCATAAGAGAGGGCTAATTAAGTGGGGTTAGGAAGCATATATGTCTTGTGAGGTGATGGGAGGGTGGTCATAGTCTCCTTGTGATGGAGGGGGACCTCAACAGATGCCCTATACTATTGATTTTAAAAAAATATATTTAAAAAGAAGAAGAAGAAGAAGAAGAAATAACTTTGGACGAGCAACAGATAACTCTCCTCGTGACTTTAATTTCTCACAACCTCCAAACTTAAAGGAGAGTTTCTGATATTTAGAAAATTGTACGTGGTAATTCGATAATCGTCTAAGGGGATTCCACATTTTTAGCCCTGTCTTTATTTACAGCTCCAAAACTTGACACGTGTGCAAATCACGCATTTATGGCCGCGTCAAATCCAATTTATAATCAACTTATGTTCTTTTCTTAGCCTATTTGGAGGTTAACCTCTGCCCTTTGGGGCCTTTGAAGGTGAGACCGTGCCACGAGGAATTTTTTTTTTTTTGAAAAGGCAGGTAGGGTAACCTAACCATTCAAGTTCTTAACAACACTCTGTCTCAAAAACAAAGAGACATAAACAGAAAAAAAGAGGACAAACAGTCAACCGACTTAGGTAGAGAATGAGCAACACCATTATCAGTACGCCTTACATAAGAAACTTTAAAGCAGCAAGTAATAGTCAGACCAACGCAAACTTCATCTGCGATAGGAGCTAAGGAAGCAAAAGGAGAGGGAGAGTCCACCAAGGAGTCAACCTTTAGAGAGTCAATTTTCACCACTGAAATCCTCCAGTTCATACGCTGAACAAAGTGAATGTCTTTCAGGACAGCCAACAGCTCCGCATGATCCACAGACATAGGACCCCTGATCCCCATAAAGTAGCAACCAATCACATGTCCATGGTGATCCCGAATAACACCTCCCAAACTAATAATATCTCCTTCTAGAGGAACAACAACATCTGTGTTGAGCTTCAACAAACCAGGAGCAGGGGGATACCAAGCAGAAGGCTATTTGGAAGGGGTGACAAGTCACGGGAGAGACCTCTAACTCTATCCCCTTCTTCCACAAAGTAGAGAATCCGAGTCACCAAGACCGATGCCTCTCTAACACCACCATCATGAGAGCGCATATTCCTTTCCCCCCATATAAATCACATGGTTGTGAAAGCCAAAGCCAAAGAGTCCCCAGGGCAAACAGAGGTGAGATGGAAAAGTAAATCACCACAAGAAGTGTCTCGAAAACCATTAATCACTTCCCAAATATCTAAGGACTCCCACACTAAACGAGCAAAGGAGCAGACGATGAGGATATGAAGGACGGTCTCAAAGGCAGCAGAACAAAGGCAGCAACTAGGGGGCACAGAGATCCCCCTGCGAGATAAACCAGCTGAGATGGGGAGAGCATCATGGAACAGACGCCAAAGAAACACTCTAATCTTCGGTGGGATCTCCGCATGCCAGATCAAGGACCACCACTTTGCTACCCTAAAATCCGAGGTGGAAGCAGTATCAGGCATAGTGTGGCGAAGAAGTTGATATCCACTCTTGACTGTGTAGCACCCCTTCTCCTCATAATGCTAAATGAGTCTATCAGTGACAGGAGAAGGCGGCAGTGGGATAAATAAAATGTCCTCCTGATCTACCTACCAAAAGGAGGTAGAAATCAGCTCATGATTCCAAGTACCCGAAGCAGAGATCAGCTCAGTCACCCTTCTGGAAGGGTCGATCGGAGAAGTGATTGGCCTGAAAGAAAAGGGCCTTGGGATCCATGGGTCAGCACTAATAGAGACACTCTAGCCATCACCTATCCTCCATCTCAGACCTCGAGCCAGGAGATCTCTCCCCGAGATAATGCTTCACCATAAATAAGAGTAGCCAGGGCCGACACTAGCTGAAAGGAAGCCTGAGTCCCTGAAATACTTCCCCTTCAAAACCCTACTAGCCAGAAAAGAAGGGTTCCGAATGATTCTCCATGCCTGCTTAGCCACTAATGCCTGATTAAATATCTGTAGATCTCTAAAGCCTAGAACACCCTCTGACTTTACATGACACACCTTCTGCCACCTATCCCAGTGAATCTTTCTCTCACCAGAAGTTGATCCCCACCAGAATCTCATAATGATAGACTCAATCTTCCTACACAAATAAATTAGAATGTGAAAGATACTCATCACATAGCATGGGATTGCCTACAAAACAACTTTCACCATAACCTCTCGTCCCCCAGCTGAGAAAAGAGCCCTCCTCTAAGGTTGGACTATTTTCCAAACCGAGTCTCTAATTGAAGCAAAAGTCTGACGACGGCTTCTTCCAACCACCGAAGGGAGGTCTAAGTACCGATCATGTGACTGGGCCCAATCAAGTCCCAAGACAGAGAAAATAGAGGTCATAGTATCCTCATCTACATAGGGGCTAAAGGTGATGGTTGACTTTCTGACCGATTGCAGCCTCATATAGTAGCAGAGTATTCTGGACAGTCTGAGCAGCAGCCTGGGAAGTCTGAATAAAAACCAAAGAGTCATCTGTAAAGAATAAGTGAGAAATCCTGGGCTTCGACCGGGAACAAGATAACCCTCTGATGCACTTGTTCTCCTCCTATCTGATGATCAGTGCCGAGAGAGCTTCCGTGCAGAGAAGAAACAAATATGGAGATAGTGAGTATCCTTATCGCAGACTATGAGTAGGAGTGACCTGGCCCACAATCTGCCCATTGATGCAGAAAGAGAGTGAGGAAGTAGAGGTACAATCCAGGATGATATGC